AATTTTGGTGATTATAAAAAGTTGTGACTATATAAAGGTCAAAATTTATATGTTTTATAATAGCTAGATCAAAAAAAATAGCGTGATTATAACAAGGTTGTGACTATATTGAGAGTGACTATAACGAGGTCTGACTGTATATCATGATATAAAACATATAGCTATCTTTTTTTTTTTTTTTTTTTTGTATATAGTATATTTATTTAAAAAAAAAATTAAAAAATTATTTAAAATTAGTATAATTTTAGATTTTTTTTTAGTAATTATGCTAGTATTTTATTAAATTTTGTAGAATATTTTTATAAATAAAGGTTTTTAACAAGAAGCTACTTTTCTTGTTTTTTATTTTATAAATATTAGCTTATCTAGTTATTCTAAGAATATCCTGTGTATAATCTGCTATGCGTAGTAGGATTTTATATTTGCTATTTTGTTTGAAATATCTAGTATATATATTGTTAGATATATATAATATCGGCGGATTTGCGGAATTGGTACTGAATTGATCCTAGATTGTATCCTCAAAGTTATCCGACAAATTTTGTAGCAAACAAATATATGTACATATAAAGATAATTTAAGGGGTAAATAGATACGATGACATTGTAATTGTATCTATTTACCCCCTTAAATTATCTTTCTATGTACGCTTGTTTGCTAACTTTGAGGATCAATTAAAGATCAATTCAGGACCAATTCCGCAAATCCGCCGATATGCTTTAGTTTTTATAACCCGTTTAATAATTTTAACTAAAATTAAAAATTATCGTAATCTTTATTTAATTAATAATTCGTTTCTGAACGTCCAGGTAACTTGTTTATACAGTTTAAAGTACTTTTAAAAACGTAACGTTTCACTGCCAAAAAATCACTGTAAAAGTTGATATGTATAATAAAAAATTAAAGAAAAAGCCTCATAAGGCTGTCTAAAGCCAAGCACTTCACACGATTACCCAGTAGTCATCTGTTACCTCCTCTTGTGATGATTTACATCCCTAGTACATACCAGGGCACAAATTTCCGGGTGATGTAACCTGCTATTTTTTTCGGTAAACGAAATTTAGAAACTCCCGCAATATAATTAATATTATAAAATTTCCGGCCGTTTTAAAACTACGCCGGAAGTCAACTTAACTCGGACCTCCGGTGTTTTACAATAGAATTTTGTGCTCTGATACGTAGAGAATCAGAAATCAGATCGAAATTTACTTATTTTCGTGAGTACGTAACATATAAAAAAGGAAATTTAATTATTAATGCGTAAAGATTGAAGTTTAGAGCTAAGACGTTAGTATTAGAAGCTATTACACTTTTTATATGCAAATTTCGTATTCGCTATGCACCTTATACAGTATTCGTTCGCACGTGTTCGGAATAGATCGTGTGTAACATAAATCATCTTAAAAAAGATTTTAAGTTATTTCCCACAGTCGTTTTTCGTTTACGTACAGTACAGTAATAAAATTTTAGCAATTTTTTTTCAATATGACTACATTACCAAGCGAATGCTGCCAAATAATATTTTATAATCTTCGATGTTATCACAAAAGTTTATTTTCATGTGCACTTGTAAACCGCCAATGGTGTAGAATTATTATACCAATTTTATGGAGCAAACCAGGACGTCATTTTAAAAATAAAAAACTTATAAAAACACTTCTTTTAACCTTAAATGCTAAAGAGCAATCTTTATTAATTCCCTTAAATTTTACGCTTCCAAGGTGCCGAAAGCCACTATTTGAGTACACAACATACATCACATCTATTAGTAATTATTTATATGAAGGGATTAGAAATTGGCTTCGTTATGAAGGATATGATATACGACTTGTGCTCGAAAATGCCGTTAAGTGTTCTCTGATTACAATGTTTTTACGAACTAGTAAAAAACTTGAATATTTAAGTCTTAATGAAATTATTCACGATCAATTAATATTTGAAAATCTTGGTAAGAACATTACCATTACCTCTGTAGATTTGTTTGTTACGCATAATACGTGTATCAGCGAAAATTTTAAATCTAAGGCAATAATAGATGGATTAGTAAAAGTTCTTTATAAGAATTCTACATTGACTTCTTTGAGTCTTAGATCAATTAGACTTGAAAATGAAGAAATGAGAACACTATTGAAGGCTCTTTCCAACAACACTGTCATAAATTCTTTAGATATTTGTTATGATCGGATTTATACCGAAGATGGAATTATGTTAGCAAATTTCCTTTGCAAAAATACCACTCTGACTTCTTTAAATCTTAGTGGAAGCGATAGAGATCGGATAGAATACGAGTTCATTAATCATATTGGATCAGAATGTGGAAACGCATTAGCAGTCGCACTTTGTAAAAATAATACCCTAAAAAATTTGAAACTTCAATGTAATGTTTTTGGGCCAGAAGTAAGACAATTATTAGCGGATGCACTTTGCATGAACACCACGTTGATTTCTCTAGATCTTGGTTATAATTATCTTGGATCAAGGGGAGGAATAGCATTAGCAGATGCGCTCTGCAAGAACACTTCGCTAGAAGATTTGAATCTTCAAAGTAATCAACTTGGACCAGACGTAGGAAAAGCATTGGCAGATGCACTTTGCAAGAACATCACTTTAACTTCTTTGAATATTAGTAATAATAATCTTAAATCAGAAGGGGGAAAAGCTTTGGCCGATGCACTTTGCAAGAACAATTCGCTAAGAGATTTAAACCTTCAGTGTAATGAAATTGGATCAGAAGGTGGAAAAGCATTCACATATTCACTGTGCAAGAATACCACGTTGACTTCTTTAAATATTCAAACGAATAATATTAAATTTGAAATAAGATCAGACAATCAACATTTAAAAATACTTCAATAAGCATAGCAAAAAATAACAAAGCAAATCTTAACGTAAGCCAGGTGATCTAAGATTGCTCCTGTTTACATTTATATTGTGATCTGCATAATTTTTGTCACCTATTTTTTTTACATCTGGTTACTTTGGTGTTTCTTCTTTCTGCGCTTCGTCGTTCGGGTGCTTCGTCGTTTCGAAGTTTCATCATTTCAGTACTTTTGCAGTTTCTGCTTGGTTATTTGATGGATTTACTTCGTTTAGAAGTATTATTTCGTAAGTTTAGTGGCATTTTTCGCTCTGATGATCGTTTTATGCGTTTTGACGGTTGTACTGTTATCATTATAATGTTTTCTTCATTGTTTTGGTGTTGCATTCTTGTTTTGACGTTTAATGATGTTCCAATCGTTGGTTGATGGCGTTTCTATCATCTTTTTGTGGTACTTTACTACATTAAAGATTTTTTTCGTTATTTTAGTGACACTTTACTCGCCGCTTTTATAGGGTTTCTTTAGTCTGTTTATGTTTAACATCTTTTTTTTTATTGTTTTTTTTTAATAAAATTATTAAATATCTTTTTACTCAAATACTCAAAGCTTGACAACGAATTTACACATAATGAATACTCTGATTTAGCAAAATTTTTTACATCGAAATGTGTTTGAACATATAAATGTTAATATCCGAATATTCCCATATGTCAAAGCTATTAGGTCAATACGCGAACTTCGCTATATCGAGCTTTGATTATAATCAAATTTTTTTTTTATAAGCTTGCTGTATGGTATTTTACTCTGTTCCATATATTAAACTTGATAAAACTATAAAAAACCCCCCGATTAATTACCGTATAAACGCGTAATAGTGAGCGTTATTTGAAATTTTTTTAAAATGGCATATTTAACTCAAAATAACGTCCATGCGCGTCTCAAAATAACGCATCTCATATGTACTAGATTATCTTTCACGTGCTCTTTTGAATCTTCGAATAAATTTGAAAATACAGTAATAAGCTTAGGTTCAACCTCTAACTCTGAAACCTATCTATTATTATATGATTAAATATTATTAACAATATATCTAAAACTTATTCGCCTTATGTTGTCTTTATCTCAAAAAACTAAGTATCTCTTTCTAGTTCTATTATTATGTCTCATGAAAGTTCTTAGTTGTTGAAATTTTTTTCCAAAATTGGCGCATGCGCGTCCCGAAATTACGCAATATATTTCAAGTTATACATCTAGGATAAAATAGTAGAAACAGATATATCAATTTATATTATACGTCAATATCGAATTTTTGTAGATTCTAAATCAACTTTTGTTACAACAGAATTCTAAACTGACTTGGTTGGTTAGAGAATCCAAGTACTACGTAAATTTAATCATGACAATTGTGACAGATTAAAATGAAATCAGATTAAAATGAAATTTTAATATTTTTTAAGGACGATTTAAAAAATTTTGGGGGACATTTTTTAGGGTTAGGGTTAGGGTTTAGTATTAGGTTTATTAAAAAAAGAGTATAAGTGGGTTTTATAAGCTTTAAAGAGGAGCGAGAGAGGTCCTCCATTTCATTTAATCTAATTTCATTTTAATTTGCAATAATCATTAACAAACCAATAATTTTATATATAAAAAAGAAAACTTAATAAAATCGAAATTCATCCAAACCTATTATTTATTACACAATAAAATTATAATTTTTTAATAAAAAAAATATGCTGAACTATTTAATATATAGAAATGCGCTACTCTAATAAATAGATCATCCAAAATATATTTATTTCCGATTAAATAATACAACTAAAAGTAAACTTCTATAAACTTGAACAACTTATTCCAAATACTTCAATTTTTACCTACTAAATTGACAAAATATTGCATAATGTAAATATATTAGTTGATAAATGCTCTTTATATTCCACTACACAATAGCAAAAACAAAAACTTGAATAAAGAATTTTGCACACACACATTTTTCATCATTAATCATGCATATGCTATATTAGCCTAAAATTAAAGTTGCTCATTCTAATTGTCGCTTTCTAAATGCCTTTTTTTCATCATTAACCATGCCTATGCTATATTGCTCTAAATTAAAGTTGCCCATTCTAATTGTTACTTTCAGCAAATTTTACAATTACCTAAATACCTTTTTTTATCATTAACCATGCCTATGCTATATTAGTCTAAATTAAAGTTGTTTATTCAAATTTTCACTTTCAGCAAATTTCACAACTACCTAAATACCTTTTTTTCATTATTAATCATGTCTATGCTATATTGGTCTAAATTAAAGTTGCCCATTTAAATTGTTATTTTTAGCAAATTTCACAACTACCTAAATGTCTTTTTTTTATCATTAGCCATGCCTATGCTATATTAGTCCAAAATTAAAGTTGTCTATTTGAATTGTCACTTTCTGCAAATTTTACAACTATCTAAATACTTTTTTTATCATTAACTGTGTATATGCTATATTGGTCTAAAATTAAAGTAGCCCATTTGAATTGTCACTTTCAGCAAGTTTAACAACTACTTAAATGCCTTTTTTCATTAACTATGCCTATGCTATATTAGTCTAAAATTAAAGTTACACATTTAAATTGTCATTTTAGCAAGTTTAACAATTATCTAAATGCTTTTTTTCACTTTTAACTATGCCTATACCATGTTAATTACAGTTAGGTCTATCATTTGAATTTTACCTTTTTCAGTTTTAAAACTACTCAAAGTACCTTCTTTTTTCTTTTTTAGTTATACTTATAACAAAAGTCAATATTGTACAAATCCTTAAACTTAGAACTAGTATTAACAACTCTAGTAGCAATTTAGAATATATATCTCTAATAAGCATTTAAAAGAAAAACTACATTAGTATTATTTTATAAAAAATCACAATATACTATACTATACTATACTTAAATTATAATATAAAGTTTTTTAGATTGTAAGAAAACTTCTTTGCTAAAAAAATATTTTTATTAAATTAGCAGAAATTGTAGTAGTAAAGTAATAATAGATAATAAATAGCAATAGTACTGGTGAGCTGTAAATTTTTAAGATCAAATCATCATTAAATTTATTAAAAATAGATTTTATATTCAACATGATTTAAAACCTGCTGCTTTAAGTTAGACAGAAATTGGAAACTCAAAAATTGAGTTTTACTTGATTTTGCCAAGCACTATACTACACAAGTAGCAGCTTTAGATTCAATAAAGCTATGTTTAAAATTTCATATAAAAACAATTACTAAATAAAAGGCTATTAAATATCAAAGTTAATATATTTGTATTAAAAATAATTTATTTACTATATATACTATATATATAATTTTTATTAGTAAAACTAAGCTTAAAAGTTACTATTAATAGTTTTTTTGTATTTTATATAAAACAAGTAATTAAATTATAAATAATATTTTTTTATCATCTAAAAAATAAATTTATAAATAAAAAAAGTTTTTATTAATTGCTTACTATAAAGTTTTTATTTTTAAATACAATATATTAAACTTTGCTTAAAAAGTTACTACAGTTAACTTTTTTTTATTCTGAATTATTTATTCAAATATGTAAAATAAGTTATAAAGTTTAGTTCTCAAAGAGGTATTATATGCTAATCTGAACTTTATAATAAAATTTACAAATATTTTAGAGTTTTAAGAAGAAAATAATAGTGTTTGGATTAGAGAGGTTCAGGTTAAATAGAGTTGACTGTATTAATAAAGTTTTTTATTTTTTATATAAAATAATTAAATAAATTATATTTAAATTCTTTCCTATCTTCTAAAAATTTTAAATTAAAAAATTTAAACTTTATTAATAAAAAAATTTATAATAGCTATTATTTGATGTATTAATCTTTTTGCACTAGCCTATAATAGTGATTGGAACCGGTTTTATTTATCATATCAAAATACGAGTTTATCACACCAATTATTATTAATAATTGATGTGATATACTCGAGTTTTGGCGTGATAAACTCGAATTTCGGTGTGATAAACGAATATTTAAAACCGGTTCTAGCTAATTTTGTCCGTACGCGTGTTCAAATTTGTTAATTTAGTGTAACAAGATATGCGTACTCACGCGTTTGTGTAACGAGAAGATCATCATATGATATGCTCCAGATCTAACAATGCTACGCATTTTCCTAGTATAAAAATATATTCACTGCACATAACCAAAAATGGATTTATATGTAAATACAAATTATTTGCGGAATTCGAGATATAATGCGCGAACAGAATTGTTCCTGTGCATGAGTTAGACAATGTAATTCTACAATAGCCATACACTTAAATGCAAAGTCACCAAGTTTTAAAAAATGCAACTATGCAAAAATTTCTAAAATTTGCAAAAAAATAATGTTCTGATTTTAAATTTTACTATGTAAAGGTAAATATCTTTCTTTTTTAGCAGGTCATCCCGATTCTAATGGTGGTTAAGGGCGTTCTCAAGCACCAAAATCTGATTGGCTATTTTGATTAAACTGCAAATCAGATTCGTTATTGAGTCCATTGAGGTAGGTGCTTGAGAACACCCTAAAACATCAAATATTTCTACTCTTCTCCGAAATATCAAAACCGAACTTTTACAAATTTTGTACGTACAAACTTGTACAAAATTGAAATGCTAACAAAATTTTTAATTGCGATATCTCGACAAAGAGTGGACTACTTTTGATGACTTGACCGACATTAAAACCGAAATGACCTGCTAAGCAACTTTGCTTATACTGATAATTTTAAAATTTTTCGATTTTCGCGTTATTTGAAAATTTGCATTTTAAAAAAAATTTTGTGATATTTTTAAACAAAAGTTCTTCGCAATAACTTAAGCTTTTATTACAGATTATAAAAATTTAACATTAAGTTTGGTATTATGGTCTCACCCATTGTCATTATTATGTCCGTGTAATTGTTCATTTAGGTTCTTTTCTAACCAAATCCGACCATTTTTAATATATGAGTATGCAGGACTGGTTCTGGGTTTGAAAGATTTTCAGGGGAAGGTCATACAAACCATAAAACTATGACTAATAAAGTATAGAAGTAATATTATCCGAAACACAAACCCTGATAATGGAAGATTTCAATCGACGAAAGACTTGAAAGACTTGATTCGAGTAATTAGAGTTCTTACTGTTGAGCACTAGACTGCGAAAATACAAAGTCATGGAATTTATATCAAATATTGTTAGACTTTTACTAATCAGGAGTCACAGCAGAGGGAAACATTTAATTCAACGACCCAAGGAGTTTTTATTTAATAGAATTGATATATTTATTGATGTTAAATAATGCATGACATTGCATAAAGAACAAATTTATCTAACTTTCACAAGTATAACAATTTTAGATTTACT